CAGGAAAGCTGACATTTCAGGTCTGGACCCTTCTTCAGAAAGAAGGGTCTGGAGAAAGGTCCAGGCCCGAAATGTCAGCTTTTCTGCTCCTCTGATGCTGCCTGGCCTGCTGTGTTCATCCAGCTCCACACCTTGTTATCTCAGACTCCAGCATTGGCAGTTCCTACTATCTCTATTGAAAGGACAGGCAGATGAGCAGAGGGGATGGGGTTGTGTTGTTAGTAAGAAATGAAGTTAAATCAATAGCAAGAAGTAACATAGAGTTGGAAGGTGTAGAATCTGTGTGGGCACAGCAGAAATTCATGCCAAAGAAGGGTAAGATTAGGCAAACATGGCTGACAGGTGAATCCAGGGACAGCATAAAAACAAAAAGAAACAATGTGGTGAAGATTAGAGGGAAGCCAGAGGATTGGGAAGCCTTTAAAAACCAGCTGAGGACAACTAAATAAGTAATAAAGGAGGGGGAGATGAAATATGAGGGTAAGCTAGCCAGTATTAAAAGAGAAGATTGCAAGAGTTTCTTTAGATATATAAGAGCAAGAAAGAGGCAAGAGTCGACATTTTACTGCTGGAATATAAGGTTGGGGGAGCAGTAATGGGGAACAAAGAAATGGCAGGGGAACTGAACAGGAACTTTGCATCAGTTTACACAGTGGAAGACACCAGCAGCAAACCAGAACTTCACGACTGTCAGAGGCAAGAGCTGAGTGTAGTGGCCATCACTAAGAGAAGGTGCTGGGGAAACTGAAAGGTCTGAAGGTGGATAAATCACCTGGACCAGATGGACTACACAACAGAACTTTGAGGAGAAAGCTGAGGAGATTGTGGAGGTATTGCTGGTGATCTTTCAGGTACCAGTGGAGTCAGGGAGGGTCTCAGAGAATTGGAAAATGGTAAATGTAACATCCCTGTTTAAGAAGGGAGGGAGGCAGAAGGCAGGAAACTATAGGCTAATTAGCCTGACCTCGGCCATTGGTAAGATTTCAGAGTCCGCAATTAAGGATACGTTTGCGGGGTACTTGGAAGTGCGTGATAAAATATGGCTGAGTCAAGCACAGCTTCAACAAGGGGAGGTCATGTCTGACAAATCTGTTAGAATTCTTTGAAGGTGTAATGAGCAAGTTAGACAAAGGAGAACTGGTGGATGTGATCTATTTGGATTTCCAGAAGGCCTTTGACAAGGTGCTGCACAGGAGGCTCCTAAATAAGAGCCCATGGTGTTGGGGGCAAGGTACTGGCATCGATAGAGAATTGGTTGACTGGCAGAAGACAGAAAGTGTGGATAAAGGTGTCTTTTTCAGGATGGCAACTATTGATGACTGGAGTTCTGCAGCAGTTAGTGTTGGGACCACAACTATTCACATTATAAATTAACAACCTGGACAAAGGAACTGAGGGCAATGTTGCTAAGTTTGCAGATGATACAAAGGTGGAGGGACAGGTAATATTGAGGAAACGGGGACGCTGCAGAAGGACTTGGACAGGCTAAGAGAGTGAGCAAAGAAGTGACAGATGGAATACAATGTGGGAAAGTGTGAGTTTATACACTTTGATAGGAAGAATAGAGGCAGGTCTGGCTATCAGGGAATCTGGGCAAGTATCCTTAAGATGGTAAAACATCTCAAGACACTTCATAGGAACATTATCAGGTCAAATCGGACACCAACCCACATTAGGTGATGTTAGGACAAGTATCTAAAAGGTTGGAGTAACTTAAAGACTGAGAGGATGATCAATGGGTGGAGAGATTTGGCGAGGAAATACCAGAGCTTAAGGTTTTGGCAAATGGAGCGAGGATCAGCAACACGAGCTGGTTAAGATCAGGGGTGTTTGACAAACTGGTGCAATGTATTTCAACAACTTTATTCAAACAAAATGCACTAAAAACAATTTGAATTATATCAGTGTGTAAGCAGTAGAATGTAGGCAAAGTGTTCTAATGCAATTGAAAATGATGGGAAACTGAATTTTCCTGAGGGCTCAGTCGAGAAGAGTTTGTATTCTAGTTCAGAGAAATGTGGAAAATAGGACCAGGAGTAGGCCAGTCAGCCTGTTGAGCCTGCTCATCCAACTCAGTCCCCCGTTTCCTCTTTTTCCCCACACCCTTTGATTCTTTAGCTCTAAGAACTATATCAAATCCATGTTGAAAACATTCAATGTTTTGAACTCAACTGCTTTCTGTGGCAGAGAATTTCACCTCTAAGTACATTGAAAAGGAGCAATATTAAGATAAATCTATTTTAAATATGTCTGGGGGAGGAAACAGCAAAATTTCCAAACAGTTGTAAGTGAAAAGTCTTACTCACGTGCACAAAATGGACTGGTCTTCACGATCTGTTAAAAGATGTAAAATGAATGAATAAAATTAAAACAAAACTGGACAAAATGATGAAAAATAATTTATAAAATAATTTTATTACGTTGTAAAATAATTTAAATGAATATTGAATCAAGAAATCATTTTAAAAATAACCTGTAAAATAACAAAATAATACAAGTCCTGAGAATGGGTGAATTCCCATCCATGAAATTTTATTCTATTACAAGGATACATCATTTAATTTGCTAATCAACCTGGAACACACCTTAGAAACTTTATTCAGAGTCACTGATTAATCACTCAATGATGCAATGAATTTCATAAATAATATAAACTTAACTTCAACATCCATTTTTTGATTAATTTTTGGTTTTCTTAACAAGGGATTCTCGCCAAATGAAAAACTTTAACATTTTGACTGAATTCGCTTTCATTTATTTTGACACTTTTGCATCTTGTTTTGCTTCTAATTCTAAAACTCAAGGCTATCGAGCGAGCCATCCTGATTGCATTTGCAATTGTTAAGGCCTCAGTGCAACGGTGGATGGACAATAAATGTGACCTCATCAATGTTTCCCACATCCCAAGAACCAAAATAAGTCTCTTAGATCTCTCTGGTGATGTCCCACTCTTGGCTATCCATGTGAGTGTACATGCGCACGCAGGATGTGATATATTTTGATGTCATGTGAACACAGTGATAGTGGTACAGTGGTAGTGTCCCTACCTCTGGGATAGGTGACCCAGACTCAAGTCCTGCTTTTTCCAGAGATATGTGATAACATCTCTGAATGGGCTGCTTAGAAAGTATATAAACATTGGTTGAGTTAACTGAGGGATTGGAAGCCTTAAGATGAAAAACGTAGTCAGTGAAATAGATATTCTGTTAACACAATTACTTCTGAGGAACTGCGGGTGCTGGAGATCTGAAACAAAAGCAGGAACTGCTGGAAAAACTCAGTAGGTCTAGCAGCATCTGTGGAGAGAAACAGAGTTAATGTTTCAAGTCCAATGCTAAACCACACTGTTTTCACAATTTGTGGCTTTTCTGGCTGTACAGTCCATGAATTTGTCTTGTTTTAGCAGAACACACCAGTTCAATTGAAAGAAAATCTTTTAAAATGTGCGATAAATGATTTAAACACAAGGTCATTGAAATGTAATGGAAACGGTAATAGTCCATACCAGCTACAAAGCAAGGCAAATTGATCATGGCCTGGCAGTTTGTCACCCATTTCATTTAGTTTTCATTTTTGTTATAATAATGGAAAGTGGTCATTGGGATAGTGTGCAATGAGCTGCTCAGCAGCTGTTAGTCTTTCCCATGGTCCTGATCTCAACCAGTTTCACCCTCAACATTTAATGTCATGCGTGTAACCGGTACATACACAAGGTCATTTTAGATATTAATGTAGTATCCCCACTATTCTTCATAGGTTGGACTTTTTGCAATTGTGGAAGGCCCTGGTCTAAAGGTTGTACATTTCTGTATCCTTTTAAGATCTGCAAACCCTAAAATCTAGTTTGATGGCTGCAGAATCTACGAATTTTACTGTTGCACAGCCTAAGGAGTGAGTGAATGTCTGCGTGTGTGAGTATGAGTGAGAGAGATTGTGTGTGCATGTGTGTGTGTGAGAGAGAGAGATTGTGTGTGCATGTGTGTGTATGTGCGAGAGAGAGATTGTGTGTGCGTGTCTTGTGAGAGAGAGATTGTGTGTGTGTGTGTGAGAGAGCGTGTGTGAGAGAGCGTGTGTGAGAGAGAAAGAGATTGTGTGTTTGCGTGTGAGACCATTTGTGGGAGACTGTGTGTCTGTTTGTGTGTTAGTCTGTCCATATCTGACTGTGTGTGTGTATGTGTCTGTGTGAGTGCATGTGGGAGAGAGTGTCTGTTTGAGTATGTGTGTCTGTCTGCATCTGTGTGCATGTGTGTGCGTGTGCATGAGAATGTGAGTGACCATCACACATTGGATTGAATTCTATAAAGTTGCAGCAATCTGTTTACCCCTTGAATGTCTCCATTTTGATTGAATGAGCCATATCCAGATCTCTGATCTAACAGATTTTAAGATCACGAAGTTACCTTTTATCCTGATTTCCAGAGGGTTTACTTTCAAGATTATTTTTTCATGCATCCTCAGGTAAATATTTATAAACACACCCGTATTATCCTGAACTAAACACTGGTCCCTGCTCACTGGGTTAGCTGGTGGTTTTCGCTGGATCACTGGATATTTTAAAGGCAGTTGTAGGTAGATTTCTGACTCTCTGGAGGGTCAGAGGTTACTGGGGCATAAAGGAAAGTGGAATTAAGAAACAATTGGATCCAGTACTGAATGGCAGAACAGGCTCAATTGGTTGAATAGCCTATTTCTGTTCCTGAATCATATTTTCATATGTTTGTAATACTGATAGCTGTTCACCTACAGCTTCGAATTAGTATCAGAATGTCTTTTGCTTCGAATGAAGGGAATGAGATATTTTTCTTCTTCGTTGAACGAACACAAAACCAAGAATCCTTCTGTGAAATTCAGCATTAGTTGGATAAAGTTTCACCTTTCCTCAATAATGCACTGGATTATTCTTGTAATCGGTCATGGTGTTATTGCTGTCTGCATATTCCATCTAAGCACAGGTAGCAATTGTGAATTGGTCTGAGGGTGAGTGTGTGTGTGCGCATTTGTGCATGTGCGTGTGCGTGTGTGCGCATTTGTGCGTGAGTGTGTGTGTGTGTGTGTGTGAGTGTGTGTGTGTCTGTGTTTCTTTGTCCAGTAGCAGACGTGACTACCATGCACGCTTATCAAATAAATCTTTAAAATTAGTGACTGATTTGTGCATTTGTTTATTTCTGCAAAGATCAGCTGATATTAAAGCTGGCATGAGTGAATTTCCTGAGAGTTTCTGGTCAGTTGCATGGGAAACAACATGAATTCACCAACCGAACGAGGAAGAGAAATGTCATCAATAGTTTAAGCTCAGAGAAAATATAGAGGCTGCAATTTTCAACTTTGGTGGAACTTAACTTTCAACATAACTGAAATTCAGCTTAAACAGACTCACTGCAGCTGGTTAGGGACATCACGCAAATTTATTTTCCATTTGACTTCAAAGTTAATCAAGTTGGGTCTTTGTGTTTGTTGTATGAAATGGTTAGATCCTTTGCAGTGTATGTCTACCCCATTCCAGCACCTCTCTTTTAAAAGGTAAGGTTGATGCTTCTTGTAATCAATGGTGTCAAGATTTTATCATAATTAGCTCTTATGTGGAGGTGCTGGTGTTGGACTGGGTTAGACAAAGTCAGAAATCACACGACACCAGGTTATAGTCCAAACCATAAACTTTTGGAGCTTCAGGTGATGAAGGGCCAGCGCTCCGAAAGCTTGTGTTTTCAAATAAACCTGTTGGCCTATAACCTGGTGTTGTATGACTTCTGACATAATTAGCTGGGTGGATTGTTGTTTAATTACAGACAAAAACTCCTGTTCATAACATACAGGGTTTTCATTTTAAACACACAATAGACTGTTGCATCCTTTCAATGTAGTATATGACAAAGGGAGAACATCACCAATGTATATTTTTTAATCCATCTCTTTTGATATGTTATTACACACCTTTAAGATGGGTGGGACAGGAACCCCGACCTCTTGGGCAGGAGGAAGGGCCACCACCACCGCACCACAGGAGTCTGGACTCTACTCACCGTAACCATCTATAAGTAAAACCCTGCAGCTTATTTTAGTTGATATACTCATGATTTTTTTTGGAATGTCACTGCCTCTTTCACAATAATGAAAACTGTAACTGAACGGCCTCGAAGCTGGTCTGCTGAATGCGAGAGAGCATCATCAGATGATGTTTTAAGAATTAATTCATTGGATGTGGCCTAACATTTATTGCCTAAGGGCACCACGAAATAGCTTGCTAGGCCATTTCAGAGGGCAGGTGAAAGCCAATAGTATCAGTATGGGTGTGGGGTCACATGTAGGCCACTCAGAGATAGTAAGAACTGCAGATGCTGGAGTCAGAGTCAATACAGTGTGGAGCTGGAGGAACACAGCAGGTCAGGCAGCATCACGGGAGCAGGAAAGTTGACGTTTCGGGTTCAGCTCCTCTGATGCTGCCAGACCTGCTGTGTTCCTCCAGCTCCACACTGTATTGACTCACATGTAGTCCAGTCCAGGTAAAAGGATATTAGTGAACCAGATTGGTTTTTACAACATGGTCACTATTTGTTTGTAATACTAATTGACACGGATTCAAACTTCACCATCTGTCATCTTGGGATTTGAACCAATGTCCCCATTAGCCTGGGACTCTAAATGAATTGTCTGTTATTACTGCTGATCACAACCGTTAGCACCATCCCACTGCCTTCCCATGGTGCACAATTACTGGGACTGGGAACTGAGGGTAGAAAGTGCTTACTGAGTTTTCTTCAGCTCTGTCCTGAAACAGTTCAGGAATGTTCATTAGCTTACAGTCATCTGGTTTCTGATTTTCTTAAATCTGCCACAAGCTGGTGCTGGCACTTTCAAATTCTGGCCAAAATGAATTTGCTGAAATGTGGCAGTTTTTATCTGGTCGCTCGAGGGTGGAGCTACGTCTCACAATTTAAATGCAGCTCCACATTCCTGTCTATAACATGTTCATCAAATCTGTCTCTCTCGGTCAAGTTGAGGGGCATGTCAGGAACTGTGTAGGGCAGCTCTACACTGATAGTGCTTGTCCACGTGGACAACAACCTTTTCAAGATCAAAATCAGAAATTGCTGGAGAATCTCAGGAGGTCTGGCAGCATCAGTGGAGAGAATTAGAGTTTCGAGCTGAGGAAGGCCGAGTTCTGAGGAAGGGTCACTCGACCCGAAACGTTAACTCTGATTCCTCTCCACTGATGCTGCCAGACCTGCTAGGCCTTTCCAGCTATTGCTGTTCTAGTTTCTGATTTACAGCGTCCACAGTCTTTTCTTTTCGGTTTTAACCTTTCCAAGATGGTGGGCCATTCCAAGATTTCCCAG